TCCTCCTCCCTACCTCCCTCTCACTTTTTCTCTTTTTCCACTTAGCTGGCCATGGTTTTATATGGGCCTTTTCGATGGCAAAGTCTCCACCAGCAGTCCCTCAAACAACAGCAGACAAGGCTCAAGTGTCTGCTCTGGGCTGCTGGTTTGTAGGGCTGTGTCCAAGCTTGGGGCTTGAGTGCCCTCCCCAGCCTCCGTCATGCCGGGGTCTCTCAGTGACTTAGGGCTCTTGGTGCTCCTAGCCCACCATGGGCTGGTTCCAGGTTACAACCCTGGTGGCATCTCTCTCTAGGGAAGGTGGAGAACTACGAGCTGATTCACTCAAGTCGTGTCAAGTTCACCTACCCCAGCGAGGAGGAGATTGGGGACCTGACATTCATCGTGGCCCAGAAGATGTCTGACCCAGAGAAGGCTCCAGCCCTCAGCATCCTGCTGTACGTGCAGGCCTTCCAGGTGGGCACACCGCCACCTGGGCGCTGTAGAGGTCCCCTGCGCCCCAAGACACTCCTGCTCACCAACACTGAGATCTTTCTCCTGGATGAGGACTATGTCCACTACCCATTGCCCGAGTTTGCCAAAGAGCCACCTCAGAGAGACAGGTACCGCCTGGACGATGGCCGCCGCGTCCGGGACCTGGACCGAGTGCTTATGGGCTACCAGACCTACCCACAGGCCCTTACCCTCGTCTTTGACGATGTGCAGGGCCATGACCTCATGGGCAGTGTCACCCTGGACCACTTTGGTGAAGTGCCAGGTAGCCCAGTTGAAGCCAGTCAGGGCCGTGAAGTTCAGTGGCAGGTGTTTGTCCCCAGTGCTGAGAGCCGAGAGAAGCTCATCTCACTGTTGGCCCGCCAGTGGGAGGCCCTGTGCGGCCGGGAGCTGCCCGTTGAGCTCACTGGCTAGCTCAGGCCACAGCCAGTTTTTGTCACCTGCCCTGTCTAACCTGGCACCTGCTAGGGTGGAGCAGCAGGCTTTTGTTGTTCTCTTGAAAATGTTTTCTCCTCCCTTTTGGTACCATAATTGGACTGTCCTTGCAAAGAATGTGAACGTGTATATGTGCTCAGTTAACGGAGTGAGAATTCCATATCCCATCCAGAGCTGTCTGTGTGCCGTCGGCCTCCCATGGGTGTGTCGCCTGCCCTGGAGTGGCATGGTTGGGCACATCAGTGTCGTGTCTCTTGTCGTGGACTGTTGTTAACACATGATGCTGTGGGTCTGATTTACTCTGGTACACATTTTCTTCTGAAATGTCAAATCCAGTCCCTTGTAGCTGTTGCTGTCACTGTGGGCATTTTGCTGCTAATTGTGAAGCTGGTAGTAGAATACATGTTGGAAGCTCCCGCCCCCTGCGGTTTTTCAAAGTGGGACCTCCCCTGGTCCACACTAGTGGGGCAGCCCATGGGGGCAGGAGTCCCCCAGGCCTTTGGGCTAAGAGAAGTTGGGAGCAGGGGACCTCGAGCTGCCAGCACCAAGTGTGATTCCTGTTGCCTATATCCTCTATTCCAATAAAGCAGAGTTTGACACAGTCTGCGTCTTCCATTTCAAGGGTCACTGGGGTCCCAGCAAGATATCAGCCAAGGGCATGGTTAGCATGGGGACAGAGGGTTCCCTGGAGAATCAGGAAGCAAGGTATTGGGGAAAAGGAAGGAGCAGCCCTCCAGGGGCCAGACGCTTGTTGAGATGGGAGAGGTGCAAGAAATCCTCTGGAGAGGCCCATGCTGGGCTGTGGCTAAACAGTGAGCCTGGTACAAAAAAGAAGAGACTGAAACTCTCTGGGGCACCCCAACACACAGCTCACTGCCCCCCTGCCAAGGCACAGGTGTTCCAACTGCCTCAGCTTGTCCTACAAGCCGTGCCACACCTGGGCCCAAGCCCATCCGAAGCTGTAACCTGTTGTGAGACTGAGGCCTGGAGTCTGGGATGGCTGCTGTAGGGGCTGGGGCATCTCACTGAGATGGCTGTTGAATGGCAGCAAGGGAGGGCATGTGGGGAGGTGGGACCCAGGCAGTGGACGGTGGCCAGGAGGGCACATGCCCATCCTATCTGTGTCCACATCCCTGAGACGGGTTGCTTCAGGGAGCCCTGCTGAGGTAGGACCTTGGATTTCTCTGGGAGCCAACCACTGTGTCCCACCCTTCCTCAATCCCATTCCTATGGCCAGAGCAGGGCTTTTGAGCCCCACTTAACTCTCATCCTGGCCCAATCAGGAACTGCAGTCCCCAGGACCACTGGGCCAGGTAGGGTTGCGGAGAATGGCTGTCCTGGCTACTGGGCCTGCCTCTGCTCCCCAGTTTTCTCCCAATGCCAGCAGAGCGGGGACCCTGCCCCAAAGAATCGTCCTCAGGAAGGCTGTGGTGGTAAGGGGTGGGAGGATGAACAAAAGGAGGGTCTTTCCACTTGCAACACCCCCACCAGCCAGGCCTCAAAGACCTACCCAATAGCCCCTTTAAGCTGATGGGGTTTGGGGACTCCTGAGGAGGAGGAGGGGCAGGTGACCTGCTTCCCCCAATCAGGCCTTTACCAAAGGCATCTGCAAATGGCTACCTGGCTCTGTCAGATCTTGCCTCTCGCTGTTGCATCATCTGTCACTGGGGACAGTGACAACCAGAGGCAGGACCCACCACATCCAGGCCTGGGACACAAAGGTCCCAGCCTGGGTCAAATGTACCTACTGGGAGAGGCTCTGCAGACAGCAACCCTGAGATTGGATCAGAAACACTGATTACCTTGGATGACCTACCTAGTTCCTCTACTCCTCAGTTTCCCCAGCATTAACAGAGGAATAATAAAAGTAACCACTTTCATTCACTTGTTTGTTCTGCACATCTGAGCATCTTCCATGTGCACCAGTCAGATTCCACCCCTGCTCTTCCCCTGCTGAATTAGTCAATGCCAACTGGTGGCCAGTGCTGCAAGGAGATGAAACCAGGTACAGGGTGACTCTGCAGCCTGGGATCAGGGAAGCTCTCTGAGTATGTAGCCCTTGACCTGAGTATGGACCCATGAAAAGGTCAGTGTGCTTGCTACAATCTGCAGTGACAGCCTGTGCCAGGTGAGCTTGCTTTTAAGAAGAGGCCTGTGTGGCTGGAGCAGAGCTGAGGGGCAGATCAAGAGAGGCTGGCCCAGCGTGGAGAGGGGTTTGGAGTGTCATGGGAAGCCAGACAGGGCACAGCTGCAGAGTGGAGGGCAGATGTGGGGATGCACAGAGGGTATGGGGATCATGGGCAGGACCAGCTAGGGGAGTGACTGGGGCAGGTTAGGTTATGCGGACCTGGCGGCCTAGCAGTGTCTGGCAGCAAGTCAGAGCCTTGTTAGCACCCTCAAAATTGGAAAGATAGAGGCAGGGGCAGACAGACCGATTCAGGGGTTACCCTGCCTCTCACCAGAATCCATTTAGAACCCCTGGATTCTAAATGAAATGTGCTGGGTGTGCAGATGGGGTGAGTTTTTCACTTTTGCATTTGAGTTTGCTTCAAACCCTCTGATAGACCCCAGACCCCAGGGCTAAGGGTGGGCTTGAACCTCCAGTTGTGATCCCAGGAGGAGGGTCCTAGACTGGGAAGCCCCGAGCGGGGTTCAGGCCGTCCATGCAGGGGTCAGTGGCCAGCACCTTCCCTTCCGCCTGCAGGCTGCTGATACGCAGGAGGAAATCCTGGCGGGTTCCTGTGGGGGTGAGCTGGCGGGGCCTCCGGGCTGCTTTTAAGGCAACAGCCCGCCCCGTCCCGCCTGCCTGCCCCGTGCCTGCCTCCTAGAGCTCATTCCCCACGCCACCGGCTGCCCTGACTGTCCGGGACGGCGTGCTCGCCAGCCACTGCCAGCCATGGCAGGGCCCCGGGGCCTCCTCCTGCTCTGCCTCTTGGCCTTCCGCCTGGCAGTCTTCACCTTCGTCAGGGGGCAGGTGAGTGTATGCCAGTTGCAGGGCACATGGTGTCCAGGCCCTGCCGGCCAGCGGTGGGAGCAGGGGGGGACCGTAAGTGGAGGGGCATGGGCCTGGGGAGACACAGAGCACCGGTGCCTGTCTGACCACTGAGCAGGCCCAGCTGGCCAGGCTCTTGTGCCCACCTCCCTAGGTTGAGGTCTGTGTCTGGCCACCTGGGGTGCAGGAGTGTATCGGCCAGCCCTCCCCTAACTGTGCCTGGCCGACTGACTGTGTAATGTGGGCAGCCATCCCAGGGCTCCCCAGCCTGTGGGTGAGGGGTGCAGACGCAGGCCCATGCTCCTGTCTTCCCTGCCCAGACTGAGGCCCAGTTCTCTGCGTGGCTCTTGCCTGGGGGTTAGAGAGTGATCCTCATCTACCCCCAAGGGACCTACAACCTGATGTCGATGTGGAATGTGTGTTTGCCCGTGGTGTTGCCTGGAAGCAGAATGCGAGGTACTCACCCCCACCACCACTGGGTATTCAGCAGCCAGCAACGACACCCTCCATGGATCAGCCACAATCCCAGGCACATCCTCTTGAATCCTCCTGTTCTCCTCGTGAGGAAGCCAAGGCCCTAGGATGATGGAGACAGGCTATTCCAACTTGGAAGTCAAGCTCCAAGCCACTGCCTGTGGTTCCCCAACTAGGCATGCTGGGGAGCAGACAGGGCCACAGTATGCGGCCAGAGCTGGCCCCTCTGTCAGGTCCCTGTTGACAGGCTATCTGTCTGCAGGTTCACCCGGGTCCCCTAGTAGGGACACTGTTCCTCTGGAACTTCTGGAAGAGTCTCCCACCCTGAGTACAGGGATAGTGTCCCCTGGGTGGGACCTGCTTCTCGTTGAGGGACCCTGTCCTGTGAAGCCAAGTTTGTCTGGCTCTTGGGGCACCTGTCACTATCCCTGTGGCACTAATGGGCAAACTGAGGTCCAAAGAGGGGAAGGACTTGCCCAGGATCCCACCACCAGGCAGTCCAGCACAGGGCCTCAAGCTCCCTGCCACCATTGGGCTCTTTCTCTTTGTCTCCTGATGGCTCCTCAGAAAGGCAGCAGGGAGAGGCCAGGGCTAGGGACAGGCAGATGCAAGTCTGCGAAGATGACAGTGGTAGAGGTAGAGCCAAGGGTTCCAGAGCTGTGCTGATCCCTGCAGGTGTCTTCTCCTTGACTCAGTTTCCCCCTTACCATGCAAGGGAATTTCAAAGGCCTCGCCATCTCCTCATGTTCTGGGCAATGAGGGGCCTCAGGCTGGAATTTTTTCCTTGACAAAGACCTGTGTTCAGGTCACCCCTAAGCCTGCATTCTGGGGATGGGGCTTAGCCAACCTGAGCCAGGGAAGAGGGTGTGGGGTCCTGTGGATGGAGATACAGCAATGCTGGCCCCATCTCACACAGCCATGCAGCCCCCAGCACCCTGTGTAGCCTAAGATTCTCTGAACGTACAATGGCCCTCCATACCTGTGCGTTCCTCGCGCACGGATTCAACAACTCTGGATTGAAAATATTAGGGAAAAATTGCATCTCTACTGAGCATGCCCAGACTTTGTTTTGTTTGTATGGCATTTACATTATCTTATGGTATCGTAAGAAATCTGGAGATGATTTAAGGTACATGGGAGGATGTGTCCAGGTTATATGCAAATACTAAACCATTTTATATCAGGAACTTGAATATCTGTGGATTTTGGTGTCTGAAGGGGTCCTGGAACCAATCCCCCAAAGATACTTAGGGACAACTACATTAGGAATGGAGGCTCCTTCAGAGGGGAGGGACGTTCCGGGTCATACATCCAGTAAGGGAGACAGTAGCAGGACTCGAGCACAGATGGATTTAACCAGCAGAGGCAGGGAAGACTTCCTGCAGAAGGGGTCTTAGCCCTTGTGCATTCAACACTCTTTTACCAAGTGCGCACTCTGCTAGGCATGTGCTGGCCGAGCCTGTGGTCTCCAATCGCGGCTTGAAGTGACAGGACATTGCCCACAACCCAGCCCAGTGCTCCACTCTGGTCCAGGCTAGGGGGAAGCAGCTTGGGGGTTCCTTCTTCTCTAAGAATGTTTGGATTCTGGGCTTCGACTTTAAATAGTCCCCATAAGCCTGATCCCAGCTTGGGAGAATGTCATCCTCCTCACCAAAGGCTTAATACCTCGTGTCTCCTCAACTTCCCCTAGCAGGGTCTCTGTGGGAAGCAGACATTGCAAAATCAGTTCTGAAGGGATGGGGGGTCGGTAGCCGCTCTGGCTCAGGCGGGTCTCGAGATGCCCCCAGGAAGGAGGGAATCTGACTCAGCACTCAGGCCATGATCTAGCCTCACTCCACCCAGCGGGACCAACAGCGGGATATGGGCTCAGGCCGCCAACGCTCCTTCCAGGCCACTGGGCAGAGGTAAAGCCCCTTAGGCATAGTTCCCAGAGAGGCACTGATTTGGCAGCAGCCTTATCCATTGGTCGCCACTTCACACACATTTACAAACACCAGCATCTGTGAATGGGTGTCCACACCAGGCCCCAAAGCCCCAGCTTCCACCCAGGCCCTAACTCAGCTTCATCCAACCCTGGCTCTGCCCCAGGGTGAGAACAGCGCTCTCTCACTCGGCCTGAACCCTTATCCAAGAGCTAGTCTCCCAGCCAGAGTGGTAACTGTGCTGGCTGTCTTGTGCATCTGGCCAGATGGTCTCGAGGGGAGCCTGCCACCCGCCAGGCTTTTGCCCTGAGCCAGCAGCTGCTTGGCCCTTGGGTTACCCAATTTCCTAGTCGCTCCCTGGCTCAGCAAAGAGAAGCCCCAGGATGGGGAATGAGACCACAACATCCCAGTCCTGCAGCTCAACACTGAGGCCGCTTGTGGCAACTTCCCTGTTTGCCGACCGCAGAGGCATGAGCGGAAAAGGACAAATCACAGTGGCACAGAGGCCCTGATCCTTCGTGTTCGCCAGACGCGTCGGGGACACCATTTCTCCTTTTCTCTTGCTTTGAGAAGCCACACATCTGTTACTTGTTCTAGGAAAGGGATGTCCTGGGTTGACTCCCTTTGGCCCACAGTGTGCTCAGCACTTTTCAAGATGAGAACATCTAGGTTTCTCCAGGCCACGCCCCAAGCCCCGCCTCTCCCCTCCCCCATCCAGTGCACCTGCCCTTTGCCCCCTGCTGTCACCCCTCCAGAAACAGTACTGCACGTTACTGGGGCTTGGTTGACCTGAAAGGTAGCCCCGGTGGCGGACTTCCGGCAGCCTTGGTGGGCCAGCAAATGGGACTGCGGGGCTAGGACTTTTTTCAGTGCCCCTGTGCCCATAACAGAGTAGCAGGCCAGACCTCCTCACATCTTCCATTCCTCACCTGGGTGCTGAGCTCTTTCCCCAGTTCATTCCATCACCCCAAATCCTCTTGAATGTCTCCCGGTCCATTACCACCGTTCCCACCATGGCCCAAGCCACCCTTAGGTGACAGCCTCTTTCCCCGTCTATTCCCCCACTCTCTTCTCCATGCAACAGTGGTGGAGGAGCATTTAAAACACAAACTGAAGGAGCAAGCTTTTTGGGTGACTACACCAACTTGCTCTCTGATTCCATGCCGTCCTATTAAACATCCTTTTCTCAAAAAACCTCAAAAAACCACAAACTGAGTTATGGGACTGTCCTGAACTTTGCCTCACCCAGGCTTAGGAGGCCCTGTTACCCTGGCCACCAGCCCCTCTCCAACCTCTCCTCAAGACACTGTCTGCCTTGTCACACATGGTGGTTTTGCTCCTTCCCATTCCCAGCCTTTGCATCTACTGTCTTCTAGCACTGTCCAGCCTGGCCACTCTTCATTCCCTCGACTGCTGGCATTACCCATCATTGCCTGGACCCCTGGGTTCCTGTCTGTGGGTGGGGGCTCTGGGCCAAGCCTGGAGCCAGGGCTCAGTGAACTGTGACTGCCCAGTCCAGGCACATGCAGACCTGCACCCCTGCACACCACACTCAAATGCGCCTAGCCTCTTTGTCTCTGACCCCTGGGCAGTGGAGAAGGTCCTTGGACTTGGTGAGAGAAGGTTATTTGGTAACAGTGGGGAGAATGCTCAGAACAGAGTAGTGGCTGGAAGCCCGCATCATGCCTGTGCCCATGAATTGAGGATGGAATCACTGTGTTCTTCTAAACAGTGTCAGCCCTGTCATTTATTGTTTCTTTCTTTCTTTTCTTTTCTTTTCTTTTTTTTTTGTTGGTGTCTTACCCCGTTGCTCAGGCTGGAGTGCAGTGGCATGCTCCCAGCCACCCCAGCATCGCCCTGCTGGGATCTGGCAATCCTTCCGCCTCAGCATTCCAAGTAGCCAGAACTACAAGCGTGCACTACCATGCCCAGATAATTTTTTTATTTTTAATTTTTTATTGTAGAGACGAGGTCTCGCCAAGTTGCCCGGGTTGGTCTCGAACCTGCGGACTCAGGCAATCCACTCACCTTAGCCTCCCAAAGTGCTGGGATTACAGGCTGATCCACCAAGCTCGGCCTCTTTGTTTCTTTTTTAATGAAAGGCAAAAATGAGCACTAGGTTGAGAGTCTAGGTTCTAGTCCCTGGTTCACATCCTGTCACTGGATGAGTTGGGCAAGGGACACCCTCGCCCCCTACCCTGCTTCAGTTTCCTCACCTGAAGTGGGCTGAGGCGGAACAACGTGGCTAGACATCCTTGGAGTCAAAGGGTGTAGACTCTGAGCCTTCTGCGCCATGAACATAAGGACTCATTGTGGCTTTAACTGTGCCGGGCAGGTTTCTCAGGGCCTCCCCCATCTTCACTGCGTTCCCACTGAACAGATGGGAAAGTGGGGCCAGGAGAGGTGCTAGGCCTTGCAGTACTCAGGGCAGAGTCAAACTGAGTGCAGGGTCCGGGCTCCTCACTCCACATTCCATCCGTGGCCCAGGTGCAGTCCAAACGCTGTGACGTGAAGACCAAGCTTGTCACTCACGTACCCTGCACCTCCTGCGCTGCTATCAAGAAGTGGGCGTGTCCCCCAGGCTGGCTCCGCGAGTTCCCGGATAAGATATCCCAGGACTGCCGGTGCGGAGCCCCACCCCATCCGTGCCTGCTTCCAGGAGCATCCTGTGGGGAGGCGGGGGCCAGGGGAAGCCTGCCAGGCCCACAGAGGACAAGCGCTGGCTTATCCATACATCGGTGGACCCTCATGGGAGCTGAGACAGGCCGGGAGGGAATAAAGGCGGGAGATGGGGGACTTACTGGGCACCTGCAATGTGCCGGACTGTGCTTGACTCTGGGCCAGGCAGAGTGGAGAGGTGGGTGAAAGCACCAGAAGCCATTGTGGGGAGGCTTTGGATGGGAGCTTCTCCCATCACCCTGCCCAACCTCTGCCCTCAGCTACGAGGTACAGCTGGGGGACTCTGTGGTGTCCATGAGCGGCTGCAGCCGGAAGTGCTGGAAGTACGTGGTGCAGAAGTCCTGCTGTCCTGGCTACTGGGGGTCCCGGTGCTATGGTATGGGGGAAAGAGGGATCCCACCTTGCTCCTCACCCCAGCCCCAACCCTGGGCTCCCCCTCTGCAGAAGCTGCCTGCGTTGCCCTTTAACTCGCTCATTTAATGAACATTTACTGAGAGTTTCCAAGGTTTAGCCCCCTCATGCTGCTGCCCTGGGGGAGGGACCAAGTCTGGGGTTTCCAGAACTGCAGGGGTCAGGGGTGGGTGGAGCACTTTGGGGGCAGAGCTGAGTTCTGGGGATTCCACAGAATGCCCTGGCGGGGCTGACACCCCATGCAATGGCCACGGGACCTGCTTAGATGGCATGGCCAGGAATGGGACCTGCGTGTGCCAGGTAAGGTCCAGGCAGGGTTGGCGGGGAGGACTTAGAGGACCCATGGTGACTTGGTGCATCTACCACTAGGAAAACTTCAGTGGCACAGCCTGCCAGGAGTGCCGAGAACCTAACCAGTTCGGGCCTGACTGCCAGTCAGGTGAGTGCTTGCTAGGTGGGTGGGCAGAGCCAGTGTCCACCTGGGGGAGCATGGGGACACAGTCCCTACAAACAGTTCTGACCTGTCCCTTCCCAGCTCCTCAGGCTTGCCCTTCTTCAGGAACACACGCTCTGCTTTGTCACACCTCTGGGTCTTTGCACGTGCCACTCTCCTTAGAGGTCTTCTCCAGGAAGCCCTCCCTGAACTCCCGGGCTGGGCCAAGTGGGCTCCCTGGGCTCCCCTGACCCCCTGTGGTCCTGCATCACAGCTCTGTACTCCTAAGGTTGTTCCTGCTGGAGCTGAGTTCTAAAAATGCATAAGGCAGTAACCCAATGTATGTGTTGGGGAGAGGCTGGGGTCCCACCTGTCCCCGTGTGTCCCTCCCAGTGTGCAACTGTGTACATGGCGTGTGCAGACATGGGCCGCTTGGGGACGGAAGCTGCCTGTGCTTTGCTGGATACACTGGCCCCCACTGTGACCAAGGTGAGCAGTGCCACTGGGATAGCCTGAGGCAAGATGTCTGCTATGGCCTGAGCGGGAGAAGTCCACTGGGTGAGGATGGGACCTGAGCCTCATCAGGACCTCTGACTGCAGCCTAGTCGGGGGAGGGGCGGTCATCCAGGATCTCCACTGTCCAGAGGCCCAGAGGGCAGAGACCTGCTCAGAGTCACACAGCAAATCAGGCAGAGTGCTTTTGCTCCTGTGTTCCTTCAGGTCATTGCAGTGCTCTCTCTCTCTCTCTTTCTCTCTTCTCTGCTCAGAACTGCCCGACTGCCAGGTCCTGCACTGTCCCAAGAATTCCCAGTGCTCTGCAGAGGCCCCCACCTGTAAGTGCCTGCCGGGCCACACGGAGCAGGGCAGTGAATGCCGAGGTGAGCCTGTGACCTGGAGGCTTGGGACCCCAGCTCAGGGTGGGCAGGGGAGGGGGGATATCCTTTTAACCCAGCAAGTGCAATGTGATCGTTTATAGGGAGTGAGAACTAGCTGTAAGAGGGGCAGAAGACCTTGTGCTCAAGGCCTCAGTCAACCTCCTTGCCTCACTTCTGGCCATCCTGGTGAGAGCTGTGAAGGAAATGGCACTCCTGGGTGCCCAGCTCACTTGGGCTCTCTCCATCTTTATGCCCTTGCAGCTCCCGACCCCTGCTCGCCATCACCCTGCTCCCCGTTGGCCCAGTGCTCAGTGAGCCCCACGGGGCAGGCTCAGTGTCACTGTCCTGAGAACTACCATGGTGACGGGATAGTGTGTCTGCCCCAGGACCCGTGCACGGCCAACCTTGGTGGCTGCCCCAGTAACTCCACTTTGTGTGTGTACCAGAAGCCAGGCAAGGTGAGCCAGGGTCCTGGGCCGAAACTGCCCACAGTGCATCCACTCATGCTGGTTGTGGGACCCTGGGCAAGTCATAGGCCCTCTGGGAGCCTCAGTGACCCCATTTGTAAAATGCGGAGAGGACGCCAGCCCACTCTGGGAAGGCAGTTGTGGGGCCGAGCAGGGCTCTGTGGGTGTGGCAGATGCCAGAGGTTCTCAAGGACAGACATGCCGTTTCTTCCTGCCATGCTGGGTGGCCAGGCTTCCTGCACCTGTCTGCCAGGCCTGGTCAGCATCAAGAACAATGCCTCTGCGGGCTGCTTTGCCTCCTGCTCCCCCCACTCCTGTGACCGGTCAGCCACCTGCCAGGTGACACCTGATGGGAAGACCAGGTGAGCACAGGGGCCTTAGTTGGGGGGCAGGGGCAGAGCAGAGAGAGGGGCTGGGCAAGTGTGTGTTTGTTGCAACCTCAGCTCAAGAGCCTGCAGGGAGGGGTGGGTGAGGGCCAGGAGGCCAGGACTGGCCATGCCGCCTGCCCTGACTGGCTGTCCCTGGGCCCCTAGCTGTGTGTGCAAGGCAGGTGAGGTGGGAGATGGGCGTGCCTGCTACGGACACTTGCTCCACGAGATGCAGAAGGCCAACCAGATAGGCCGGGTGTTCCTGCAGCTGAGAGTTGCCACAGCCATGCTGGGTGTGTGACCCCTCTGCCTACCCATGACCCCACCCTCGCCTCCGCCCCCAGCAGAGCTGGCAGGGAGTGAGGGCCTGACTCAGCAGATTCCTGTTTCTCTGCCCAAGAGCTATGGGAGCGGAGAGGGGACTGTGAGGGGTGCATGATGGAGGTGGGGGCTGTCCCCTATCCACCCTAAACCTAGACCCAGTGCCCCTACCCCTATGCCCCCAAATCTAGGATGGATGCCTGAGGGTCTTCCTAGACCCAGTGCCCCTACCCCTATGCCCCCAAATCTAGGATGGATGCCTGAGGGTCTTCCTAGACCCAGTCAGATTTCCCCAGGCCTCCCTGATGTGTTCTGATGCTCCCTCTCCTGGCGCCCAGACCAAGGCTGCCGGGAGATCCTCACCACGTCGGGCCCATTCACCGTGCTGGTGCCATCTACTGCCACCCTCCCCTCCAGGATCATGAATGTGAGTCCCTCCCCATCACAGGTCTGGCCAGCAGCCCTCACTTCCCCCCCTGGATGCTGAGAGACAGTGAGGAGTCCTGGCCCGGAAGCCCATTCACACTCTGGGGAAACTGAGGCCTGGAGGCACCTTGTTCCCTTCCGTGCTTGGGTAAGGGTGGTGTGAGCAGGACTGGCCCACCCTGGGCTCACCTGGCGCTCCCACACCCTTGCATCTGTAGGTATCCCTTGCCCAGCAGCTCTGCAGACAGTACATCATCGCAGGACAGCACATACTGGAGGACATGAGTACCCAGAAAACACGAAGGTGGTGGACACTGACCGGGCAGGAGATCATCGTCACCTTCAGCCACTTCACAGTAAGGGAGGGACCTCAGCCTGGGGACCAGAAGAGTCGCAGGTGGGGGGGACACAGGCTGGGCAAAGGTGCACAGGTGGGAGGGAGCCTGGGATTAGAGGCTGGTATATGGGGCCTAGCCAGACCTTGCGTATCTCAGCAGAAATACAGCTACAAGTACAAAGACCAACCCCAGCAGACAAATAGCATCCTCAGGGCCAACAACGTGGCAGCCAACGGCGTCTTCCACGTGGTCACTGCCCTGCGGTGGCAGTCACCCTCAGGGAATCTTGGGGATCCCAAGGTGAGCCGGCATCCTCTCCTCCCCTCCCCTGTGCTGCTGGGTGACTTCAGACTCCTCAGAATCTAGGGAGGGGGCAGAAGCAGCTCTGCAGCACAGCTCCTTCCCCCGGGGCTGAAGCAGCCTTACCCCCTGCCCTGGGACTCTCACACGCCACCCTTCCTACAGAGAACTGTTGGCCAGATCCTTGCCTCTACCGAGGCCTTCAGTCGGTTTGAAACCATTCTGGAGGTGAGTTTTGGGAAGGGGTCTTAGCCCATCTGGGCTTCTGGGACAGGACTCCTCATTGTCTCAGAATCTGCCTCATAGGGACCTGGGGTTCTGGATTAGCATGACCTTTGCCCATGCCCCCATCCTTGAGTCTGGTGTTCTGTGGTAGCATGGATCCATTACCCATGTCTCCCACTTACTCGGTGGGAGTTCCCTGTGGGACAAAGGTGTCAGGACTCAGGCAAGGCTCAGAGGTAGAGCCTGGCCATGGAGCCCCCCTAAGCCTCCCTCACACCACCACAGAATTGTGGGCTGCCCTCCATCCTGGACGGACCTGGGCCCTTCACAGTCTTTGCTCCAAGCAACGAGGCTGTGGACAGCTTACGTGATGGCCGCCTGATTTACCTCTTCACAGAAGTAAGCTCTGCAGGAGAAGGGCCTGTGGTTTTGGGGGCACAGGGCCTCTACCCTCCCCCATGGGGCCTCCAGGAACCAAACCCCTCTCCCTTGCCAGGGTCTCTCCAAACTGCAGGAGCTAGTGCGTTACCACATCTTCAGCCGTGGCCAGGTAAGAGGTCCTCCTCTGGGGAGCAGCAGGTTAGCACCTGCTGCAGGGCTCCCGACCAGGTTGTCTGCAGGTTCTGGTCTTCCCTGGGTCCCTTCTCCTCTCCCTCCTGTCTGGTCCATTATAGCACAGAGGAGAGCCTGAGGACTGAGCAGGTAGCTGTGAGTCACCTGGGCAGCACTGGCCATGGCTCCAAGGTGTGGCCAGTACCCAGCCTGCAGCTACCCTCTCCTTTCCCCAGCTAACCATTGAGAAGCTCATCTCCAAGGGTCGGGTTCTCACAGTGGCAAATCAGGTCCTGGCTGTAAACATCTCTGAAGAGGTGAGATTCACAAACATCTGGAACGAATGAATGATGGGAGGGTTGTTGATGAGCGGGTAGTTGCTTGGCCTCTTGCAGACCTGCTTGGGTGCTCTGAACCCTGTGGTGGGCAGGACAGTGCTAGGCCCTTGTGGGAATCAGGTGGCAAGCAGGCATAGATCAGATTCCTCTTCTGGAGCCCAAGGGGGTGAGAAGAGGACTCCAAGGAGGAGGAGGCTAAGCACATGGTTGAGAGTGCTCTGTGTGGTGGAAGCCGTGTAGGTAAGGGCCTGGAGGCTGAAAGAGAGTTGTTGGCCAGAGCAGAGGGAGTAGGGAGGGCATGCAGGGTGGGCCTTCCACATCTCTCTAAGCCACTCCGCTCTAATTGAGCTGCAAGACTGGAGGCGGGTGGTGAGTGCCAGGTAGAGGCCTGCTGGGCTGGGGGTGGCACAGTGGGTCTCTGCTGCAGGGGCGCATCCTGTTAGGACCCGAGGGCATCCCACTGCAGAGAGTGGATGTGCTGGCTGCTAATGGCGTGATCCACATGCTGGAGGGTATCCTGCTGCCTGCAACCATCCTGCCTATCCTGCCCAAGCACTGTGATGAGGAGCAGCACGAGATCGTAGAGGTGAGCCTCACCCCGCACAGCCAGGCCCTCACTAGCACCCCTGCCAGTGCTCGAGTCAGTGACCATTACCGCAGGGAGAGGTACCAGGTCAGGGGTCGGCTAATACAGCTCTGGTGCCCAGCCAGCAGACTCCCAAAGACCCATCTGGATTCTCCTTCATCCAGCCTCACCAGTCCTATGGAGTCTGCCTTTGAGATGACTCTCCCATCCTCCACTGCTCCACTCCCCCTGGCCTCCCAGGCTCAGGGCCTTTGTCTCTACTCTTCCCCCTGTCTGGAACCCTGCAGCTGGCTCTTTCTCATCCCTCAGGTCTTGGCTCAATGTTACTTTCTCTGAGTTTGCCGAACACACAAACAATGATTAACCTATCTCCCTGTCCTTCCCCTGTCCAGGGTGCCTGTGTGGACTGCCAAGCCCTGAACACTAGCACATGTCCCCCCAATAGCATGAAGTTGGTGAGTGCCCCTTGGCCCAGCCCTCAGGGCCACCTGACACCTGACTGCCTGGCAAAGTTTCTGCCCTGGGTCATGGGGGGAAGCACAGGCTGGGAGGCTAGGCCAGACCTGAAGGCTCAGTTCTTCACAGCCCCACTGAGGGTGGAGGTACTGGGCCCAGGGGCTGAGGTCCCTTGATCAGGGCTACAAATGGGCTGGCCCAGGGCCCACACCTACTGACCCACCTTGCCTGGTCCACCCCAGAACATCTTCCCCAAGGACTGTGTCTACATTCATGACCCTACTGGGCTCAACGTGCTGAAGAAGGGCTGTGCCCACTACTGCAACCAGACCATCTTGGTGAGCCTGGGCTTAGGCACTTACTCCCGGGTAACCTGGGCACTTCTCGTCTGGGGCCCCCATGCTGGGACCAAGTGGGCTGCCTTCCTCAGAGAGCTGCGCTGCATCCTAATGGTGGAAAAGGTCACAGAGGGACCTTACCCACGCCCCTGCTCTAGAGATGGGACCAAGAAGCAGAAGCAGCCTGGGCAAGGGGAGGCATGGCTCCAGATAGACTCTCAGATATGTTCTGCTTCTTACAGAAACGTGGCTGCTGCAAGGGATTTTTTGGCCCTGACTGCACACAGTGTCCAGGGGGCTTCTCTAGCCCCTGCTATGGCAAAGGCAATGTGAGTCCTACCTTCCCCTGGAGTGAGCTGTGGGGAAGACAGGGACCCCTTCCCAAACTGGCCAGTGATTGTGTCTGTTCCAAGTCTGCTTCTCTATGATCTTGGAGTTCTCACACCTAGGCAATAGAAATTGAATCGAATTAGTTCTCATATTTTAATAAAAAATAATTAGATAGTCTGGGCACAGTGGTTCACACTTATAATCCTGAGTAGGAAGTAGGCTGAGGTAGGAAGATTGCTTGAGCCCAAGAGTTCAAGACCAGCCTGGGCAACATAGTGAGCCCTCATCTCTACAAAAAATTTAAAAATTAGCTGGGCATGATAGCATGTGCCTGTAGTCCTAACTACTTGGGAGGCTGAGGTGGGAGGATCACTTGATCACAGGAGTTTGAGGCTGCGGTGAGCTGTGATCATGCCACTGCCCTCTAGTCTGGGTAACAGAGAAAGTGCTCTCTCTCAAAAAATAAAAATAAATAAAACAATAATAATAAGTAGATTTTTGGCATGTATTTTCAAAAAACCCACTTGTCAGTAGTTTTCTTTTGCATTATATTTTTGCCACTTTGTAATATCAGGATTACTTTAGCAGCTGGTTATAGGAGAACACAGAAGCTATGTGTTTCTAGGCTAAGCATTATCACCAATGAAGCCTTCGGAGTTGGGTGCTTTTGAGGGTGCTTTAGCAGCATTTGTGATTTTCAGGTCCCTTCCAGGGTGAGCTCCCGGGGGGAACAGGAACTCAGAACTAGCCCATAGAGGGAAAGGATGTTGGGGAAGGGAAAGGGAGAGTCTCCTCCCCATGACTGATCCTGCCTCCTCCCCACCCTATAGTGCAGCGATGGTATTCAGGGCAACGGGGCCTGCCTCTGCTTTCCAGACTACAAGGGCATCGCCTGCCACATCTGCTCCAACCCAAACAAGCATGGAGATCAGTGCCAGGAAGGTGGGTGGTCCTGGCCTAGGCTGCCTCTCAGGGAGAAAAGGGGTCTGGTTAGAGAGTGAGCTGTGGGATTATAAGAAGGGAAGCGGGATCCAGGAGGAGGGATGAAAGCCAGAGGTAGTGGAGAAAGATTTGGGAAGAGAAGGAGATGTTATCTCTTTCACCCATGCCAGAAAGATAACGGTGGTTTAATCAAAGCATTCAGGATGTAGGTCAAACACATCAAAGAACTTTCTGGTAGTGGTACTGGCAGCAGCGCTAGAATGGGGTTACTGAAAGTTCAGAATGCCCCCCTCACATTTCATCTGCCTGCCCTGTAAGTTTGGGATGGCCTCTGATTTGGTGACCCTGAAGTCAAATCTATACTGGCTGTCCCATTCCCAATACCACCCCCAAACCCTAATCCCCTGCAAAACCATCCTGGTTCCCAACCAGCCCTGACTCCTGCCTCAGTTTCCCTGTTCCTGTCTCCTTTCTGCAGACTGTGGCTGTGTCCATGGTCTCTGTGACAACCGTCCAGGCAGTGGAGGGGTGTGCCAGCAAGGCACATGTGCTCCTGGCTTCAGTGGCCGCTTCTGCAATGAGACCATGGGGGACTGTAGGCCCACAGGGCTGGCCCAGCACTGCCATCTGCATGCCCGCTGTGTTAACCAAGCAGGTGTTGCCAGGTGAGGGCTCACATGACTTCTTTGCCCCATCCACGATCTTGCACATCAGTTTGCTCAGGCTCTAGCCTCTTCCAGAGGCTCACTGGAGTCCCCTCCTTCGCCCACCCCCAGATGTCTCTGTCTCGATGGCTTTGAGGGCGATGGCTTCTCCTGCATACCCAGCAACCCCTGCTCCCACCCAGACCGTGGCGGCTGTTCTGAGAACGTCAGTCCTCTTGCCCCTTCTCTGAAGTTCTGACCCAGGAGCAGGAGGTGGGATTCCCCGGCCCTCTGCCCATGGCCCTGCATCCTTGAGTTATTTATCCATGGCTCTTACAGGCTGAGTGTGTCCCTGGGGCTCTGGGCACCCACAACTGCACATGCCACAAAGGCTGGAGTGGGGATGGCCGCGTCTGCGTGGCCATTGATGAATGTGAGCTGGATGCGCGAGGTGGCTGCCATGCCGACGCCCTCTGCAGCTATGTGGGCCCTGGACAGGTGAGACTCAACAGGCCAGCAACAGCAGAGGGGAGTGGGGACCTCAGCTGGGGGGGGACTCTCTCCCTGCCCCACCTGACTCCTGAAATGTCTGCTCCTGGAGTCAGAAGCTCAGGGACTCAAACTTCAAATGCAAATGAGAAAACCCGGTTCTGAAATGCCAAGTGGTGCCAGCAGGACTTGGTTCATCTATCCCTCATTAGCTTCCTGTGTGTTCTCAGGCACCTGTTATGTGCTAGTCCCTGTTCTAGACTTAGGGAATGCAATACTGAGCAAAGCAGAAAGACACCACTGCCCATGAGAGTGACCTCCTCAAATTTTTCAACTCATAGAAATCCAACTCTGGAACTTGTAGTCTCAGATTCTAGTCACAGCATCTTAGACCCTGGAGCCTTCCATGTGAAGCATTTCAGGCCTAGGAAACTCAAGTTACGGCAGGCATTTAGGGATATCTAATGTGCCAACTGGGAGGCCAATGGTCAGGGCCAGCCTCTGCAAGGCCCAGGTCCATGTAGGGGCTCAGGCGACCCCCTGCTTCCCCGCTCCCACCATGGCCTCTGGGCATGGGCATCGTCCTGTGGGGCCTTAGCTCAGACAGGTGTGAGAGCTGGAACCTCAACATTCAGAGCCGAGGTGCCGAATGAGCAGAGTGAGGTGTCCCCAACTTGCAGACAAGGGCAACTGAGATCTGAGGGGGTCTCACTGCTCCCTCACCTGCAGTGTGGACAAGCCCAAGGGCACTGGCATTTAGTGGGAAAGACCAGAGCAGCTGAGCAAAGTGGCAGGGGAAGAGGTGGGATTTGAGCTGACTCCCCAGGGCTGGCCTTGGCAGACACCTGCCTACTTGTCACAAGGTGCTGGCCTCAGTGGTCCTGGTGGGGCAACAAGATGCAGATCAAACACACCAAAGAACTTTCTGATAGTGGTACCCAGGACCCAAGAGCAGAGGAGCACCAAGTCTCCATGGATACTGCCCTACTGATGCTATCCCTTCCTTGGATTCATCCCAAGAGCCAGTCTCCCCTCAAGGCCTCCAGCTGGAGCACCAAGGGTGGGCTGGGAGAATGGGAGAAGCTTCTCTCCTCAGAGACAGTGCCCAGTGATAGCCAAGTGGTGGAGGAGGAAAGGGTTGGACACTCCTGGTGAGACGAGGTCCTCTGTCCCTGACCTCTCCAGAGCCGATGCACCTGCAAGCTGGGCTTTGCCGGGGATGGCTACGAGTGCAGTCCTATTGACCCCTGTCGGGCAGGCAACGGTGGCTGCCACAGCCTGGTGAGGGGTGTGAGGGCTCAAGGCCCTGGGGAGACTTTCTGGGGTGGGTCTGAGCTGCAGCTCTTTCCATCCCTTCCCTCCCCTCTCTTTCTGGGTGTCTCTGTCTCCTGTCAGGATTAAGATCTTTCTAAACTCCAAATCCAACCATGTCACTCACTCCTGGCTTTGCATGATAAATTGCTCACACTTCCTTACTAAGGCCACAGGCCCTGCAAGAGCCAGCCCCAGCCCCTGTGCTGCCTCCTCTCTCCACTCCATCCCTGCCCCTTTCCACGTTCCTGGACCCCTCTGAGCTCCTTGCTGACCTTGCTATGTTCCATCCCTTCCCTCCACCTCCTGCCTCTTTGAGACACACCTGCTCTCAGCTCAGGCTCCTGAGGGTGCAGGGCCTCTTGGGATGCTTCTGCAGTCCTGGGCTGCCCCCCACTCATCTGACATGATGGAGGGAGGCAGTGCTCATGACAAATGTTCAGTGACCAGAGAGCAGGGCAGGCACACCAAGGAAACTCCATGGGTGGTGCGATAGGGCGGCTGTACAAGCAGAGATGGAGGAGGAGTGGGGGCCAGCTTACCAGGTGGGTGCTGAGTGGAGGAACCTGTCTCTGCCCCCCCTCACTCCAGGCCACATGCCAAGCAGTAGGGGGAGGTCAGCGGGTCTGCACATGTCCCCCTGGCTTTGAGGGTGACGGCTTCAGCTGTTACGGAGACATCTTATGGGTAAGTGGTGCTCAGACTATTTTCTGTCTTCCTTACGCTTGGGGAGAAGTCCTCTTATGCTCCTCAGATAAGAAGGGGATTGTGCCTAGGATCCTTGGTGGGGAGGGGACTTGAGTTTGCCCTTAGGCCTGTGACCTCAGCTCTTTCCCTTCCCTTAGGAGCTGGAGGCAAATGCCCATTTCTCCATCTTCTACCAGTGGTTCAAGGTAGGACAGGGCAGAATGCTGGGATTGGAGGTTCAAATCCAGAAGGCCTGCCTCGATGTAGGGGGTGCCAAATAATATTTCCAAGAACTGGAGGGGGGGCAGGCATGTGTGCCTGAAGCAGGTGGTCTCAAGACAATGGCCATCTTCATCACTCCTCCTGTCCCCTTGCCTACCATGTGAACGCAGAGTGCCGGCATCACGCTTCCTGCTGACAGCCGAGTCACAGCCCTGGTGCCCTCTGAGGCTGCCATCCGTAGGCTGAGTTCCGAGGACCGAGCCTTCTGGCTGCAGCCGAGGATGCTGCCAAGCCTGATCAGGTGGGCAGCCATGGCTGAATCATGGGAGGGAGCTTCTGTGTGGGACCCAGCCCCTCCCCAGACTGTCTCCAGCCTGGCATGTGCCCACCACTGCAGTGGGGCTCAGTCCCAAGGGTCTCTGTCAGTTCCACAAACCTGATTCCTTGACTCCCACAAACTGTGGCCCCACAGGGCACATTTTCTCCAGGGCGCCTACTGCGAGGAGGAGCTGTCCCGGTTGGGTGGACAGGATGTGGCCACCCTGAGCCCCACTACACGCTGGGAGATTCGCAACGTCAGTGGGGTACGTGGTGAACCCTGGGCAGAAGAGGAGACCATCAGGGCCTGGGAGGGAGCTTGAGTGGCTTTGGGCTCCCTGACACCAGGACCCCCAGGGGAGGAGAATTGTGGTCCTCACCCTGCTCAGATCTGGGCTCAGAGGATGTGCTTAGGGCACATTGCTGATGGGCAGTGTGTCTCTGGCAGTGAACACCCACCAGGGGCAGTCTGTCCATCTAAGTCTGCACACACACATCCGTCTCTCTCACCATGGGCTCTGGGGAAGGTCTGTGTGCCTATCTGGTGGATGCTGAATCTGAATGTGTCTCATGGGTCAGGTTGGGCAGCTGTAGACAGGCCAGGCTGGGTTGTGGGAGGTGGCTTCTGTGTGGGACCCAGTCCCTGGGGCCAGGCTGGGGACCACTAGCTGGTACCTGTGTGCCTGGCAGCCTCTCTGTTGGGAGTGCCCTACCCTTAAGGGTCTGTCTGTGCCCACCTGTGGCTGAGCTCTGCTGCTGCCTTCCAGAGGGTCTGGGTGCAGAATGCCAGTGTGGATGTGGCTGACCTCCTTGCCACCAATGGTGTCCTGCACATCCTCAGCCAGGTATGACCGGAAGGAGTTGTGTCCAGGGAACCTCCCAGGCAGGCCAAGAGGCTATGATGGACTGACCAACCTCTCATGCTCTGCACCAGGTCTTACTGCCTCTGCGAGGGGATGTGCAGCGGGGACCGGGGCTGCTGCAGCAACTGGACTCGGTGCCTGCCTTCAGCCTCTTCCGGGAGCTGCTGCAGGTAAGAGAGGCTAGCGAGAAGGGCAGTGCCTGCTTGAGGGGCACCGTTCCCCAGGTTTGGAGGGGGCTGATTGGCTCCCAGTGTCATGACTGAGGACGAATATGCCTATCTCTGACTCCTGTCCCCCCCCTAGCACCACAAGCTGGTGCCTCAGATTGAGGCCGCCACTGCCTACACCATCTTTGTGCCCACGAACCACTCCCTGGAGTCCCAGGGCAACAGCAGCAGCCTGGTGAGGTCACAGGGATGGGATGACGAGTGGGGAAGGTGAAGGCACACCGAGGGTGAACCTCCTATCGCACAGCTAAGGGACACAGTGGGTGCAACGTGCTGTCCAGGGCACTTGGTAGTCCTGGGATCCCCTGAGCTCTCTCCTTCCCTCCCAGGACGCAGACGCAGTGCGACACCACGTGATCCTGGGGGAGGCGCTCTCTGTCGAAGCCCTGGGGAGGGGGGGACACCGCAACTCCCTCCTGGGCCCTGCCCACTGGCTCATCTTCTACAACCACAGCGGCCAGGTTTGGGGGACCCTATCCCAGGGATCCTGCTCTTTAAGACCCCCTTCTCTTTAGAGTTTCCCCACCTGGGAGCCTCCAACCTCTGTTCCAGGGAGACCTCCCCCATCTATGAAGATATGACCCCTGCAGCCCTGGAGTGCCTCCTGACCTTATAGCCCCCCAAGGTGAGGGTGGTGGTGGGGTGGGTAAATTCAGCTTCCCATCCCTTTTCCCAGCCTGAGGTGAACCACGTGCCGCTGCAAGGCCCCATACTGGAGGCCCCTGGCCGATCACTGTTTGGTCTATCGGGGGTACTGACGGTGGGCTCAAGCCGCTGCCTGCACAGCCATGCTGAGGCACTGCGGGTGAGGCTGGGGCCAGAGGAGGGAAGTTGTGGGGTTGAGAAGGGGAGCTGCTGGTTGGCCTGGCTGGTGGGGAGGAGCACGTGGTCAGTCTGCCCTGGAGGAAGGATGGTGGGCCCCAACCCTGGTCTGCCTTGATGCAGGCATAGTAAGCATAGTTTAGAAGTTAGGGCCAGGCAGGGCGACTTATACTTATAATCCCAGCACTTTGGAAAGCTGAGGCAGGAGGCTTGTTTGAGCCCAGAAGTTTGAGACCAGCCTGGCCAATATAGTGAGCCTCTTTTCTTAAAAAAAAAAAAAAATCAAAAAATTAGGTGGGTGTGGTGGCACGTGTCTGTAGTCCCAACTACTCGGGAGGCTGAGGCGGAAGGATCGCCTGAACACAGGAAATCAAGGCTGCAGTGTGCTGTGATTGTGCCACTGCACTCCAGTCTGGGCAATAGTGTGAGAAGCTGACTCAAAAAAATGAAAAACAAAAAAGGAGTTAGACAAGTTTTCTTAGGCAGGTCTACTGTAGAATAAGGTTAGCGTTCAGACATCTTTCTTATCTGTACACGATCTTCACCCAAGCAGCTATATCAGACCTGACCACTTTGTGGGTTGGAATGTGGAACTACCAGTGCAGTAAATCACAGAAACAACTGGGAATTACCCAAAACACGGACATGATGTTCTAAGAAAAACTCAAATCTAGTTAGCCAGTAACTTCCATTATTTACCAACTCTCAACCTTCTGACCTTTGAAGGTTGACAGATGGTAATAAAAACTTGTGACTAGGTGCATGCAGCCCATCACTCTTAGCTCATAGTTTGCTTAATCATCATTGTAAAAGTATATAAGACTTTTGTCAAAGGCAAACTTGTGCCTTCTTTTAAGGGCTCCATGCTTTCTCTTGAGCATGCCTCTATCTTTCTAATAAATTCCGTCTTAAACTATACTTTTGATTCACTCTGAAATTCTCTTCTGTGGCTGAGTCAAAGAACTCACGGAGCAACACACTGCACCCCACCTAGCATCAGCCTGATAACCTGTCTTCCTTCCTTCTAGGAGAAATGCATAAACTGTACCAGGAAATACCGCTGTACTCAGGGCTTCCAGTTGCAGGTAAGACTGGGCTTAGCCTAGCTCTGTTCCTGCTTAACTTACCCTCACTGCTCCCAAAGTGCCACCAGCCCTCTAGTCTAGCTCTGCTCAGCCCAGGCATGGGGAACTGGGCAGATGACTTCCCTGGTAGAGGCCCAAAGGCCTGGCTCAGGTCTGCTCAGGTCACTCAAACTTGTGGCCCGAGGCCTGGATCCTGCCCACTCTTTCTCATCAGGTCTATCTGTCTTGGTCCCTTCCTGACTCTTCTGCTATCCTGTTGGTCTGTCTGACATGCATAGCCCATCCGTCTCCCTCTTCACTGCTCTGCCCTTGCCCAAGCCACTGGTTGACCCCTCCTGCCTGTGCCCATTTCCAGGACACGCCCAGAAAGAGCTGTGTCTACCGATCTGGCTACTCCTTCTCCCGGGGCTGTTCTTACACATGTGCCAAGAAGATCCAGGTTTGCCCTGAAGAGCCCCCACCCCAAGTATAGCCAAATGGAAGGAGGTGGGAGTGGGTGGGGCCTAGAGGAAGGGGAGGGAAGAGAGGTCTGAAGTTGAAGGACTAGTGTTTGCTCCTGTGTCCACCACCCCAGGGAGTGGGAATGGGAAGAGGAGGAAAGAGGCTCAGTCTGGAGCTGGCTCCATCAACCAAACCCCTGACTCTGCCCCTCACTGTGGGATCTGGGCACAACCCTTCCCTGCTTGAGCCTCAGTTGCTCCACTCCTGCTGTTGGAGAAGGCATTCTCCATGCCCCTTCTGGCTCTGGTCTTCTATCCATCCCTATGTCTGGGGTCCCACATTGCTTTTTCTATGTGTCTGTGACCCCATGATGCCTCTCCTTTCCCTTCCCCCTGATGTCTGTGTTAGGTCTTTCCCTCCTCCCGACAGGTGCCCGACTGCTGCCCTGGCTTCTTTGGCACCTTGTGTGAGCCATGCCCCGGAGGTCTGGGGGGCGTGTGCTCAGGCCATGGGCAGTGCCAGGACAGGCTCCTGGGCAGCGGGGAGTGCCGTTGCCATGAGGGATTCCATGGAACAGCCTGTGAAATGTGTGAGCTGGGCCGCTACGGGTCCAACTGCACTGGCGGTGAGGACTGGGGAGGGGCTGGGGCTGGGGATCCTGGCAGTGAGGAGCAGACCAGAGACCCCAGCAGGGGCAGGATGGAAGCACTGGGTAACTTTTGCTCTTCTTTGTCCCACTGACAGTGTGTGACTGTGCCCATGGTCTATGCCAGGAGGGGCTGCAAGGGGACGGGAGCTGTGTCTGCAGCGTGGGCTGGCAAGGCCTCCGCTGTGATCAGAGTGAGTTGGTCCCAAGGGTGGGGTGCATGATTACTGGGGAGGCAGTTCCTGGGTATGAATGACCAGAGCCATCTTCCTACTTCCAGGAATTGTGGGCCCTCAGTGCTCCAAGATGTGTGACCCCAATGCCAAGTGAGTGGGCCCAGCCTTGGTAGGTGGGCAAGTGGTGGGGGGGTCAAGGGGTCAGGGGCTCGGCAGACATAGGCTGAGCTGCTGCCACTCCTCTCAGCTGCGTGCAGAACTTGACTGGAGCCCCCATGTGCGTCTGTGCTGCGGGATACTCAGGCAATGGCATCTACTGTTCAGGTCCGGCCACATGGATGCCCGGGGCCTTCCCTGAAGTTTTGGGTTGGCTGTCCCCACAGAGCCCCCTCCACTTCCTCTAGGTCCAGCCTCTATCACTGTCTCATCTCAGGTCTGACCTTTTACTTTCTCTCATGTCCCACCCCTGCCCTGTGCCTGCTCTTCATAACCCTCTGGGACCATCTACCTCTAGAAGTGGACCCCTGTGCCCAAGGCCATGGGGGCTGCTCCCCTCATGCCAACTGCACCAAGGTGGCACCCGGACAGCGGACATGCACCTGTCAGGATGGCTACACAGGCGATGGGGAGCTGTGCCAGGGTGAGGCTGAGCCCCCAACCCGGGTGCTTGTGGGGCTGGGGCTCTGGCTTCGGTGATCTCAGTCAGACTAGGGAGGGTCTGACTAGGGTGTGGGGGTGCCAAGAGAGGAAGGGATGAGCACCTGAAGGTACAGATGGGTAAATAAAGGGAGGGAATGCCAAGGACCACCCCCATCCCAGTGTCTCTTCCTCCAGAAGTTAACAGCTGCCTCGTACGCCATGGAGGCTGCCACATGCACGCTGAGTGCATTTCCATAGGCCCCCAACAGGTCAGCATGGCAGGGTTGGACACTGGGGCTGTGCCATTTCCTCATAGGGTGGAACCTCCTTTCAGAGCAACCCTGGGGAGGGGGTTGCCCTTTAATCCAGGGTGCTGGCCATCTCCTGGCTTCCAGTAGGCCCATGGATTGGGATTTGGGACAGGTCTCCTGCAGCTGCCGTGAGGGTTACCGTGGGGACGGCATCCGGACCTGCGAGCTGCTGGATCCCTGCTCTCAGGTCAGGCCCCCAGTCCTACTGTACTTCACAGGGAGAGGGAACTAAGGTGGGAACCAGCCCTCCTCACCCCCAGAAGAGTCCCAAGGGCCTCTGAAGGATGGGCTGTGCTTCCCTCAGGTTCAGGTCTGGTTGATTAGTAGGAAATAGGGCTTTGACTGGGTGGGATAGAAGAGTCCTGGAAGCCACTGATACCTCCCTCTCTTGTCCCTGCCTCAGAGCAATGGAGGCTGCAGTCCTTATGCCATATGCAAAAGCACAGGGGATGGCCAGAGAACATGTACCTGTGACCCATCACACACCGTGGGGGATGGCTTCACCTGCCGTGCCCGAGTTGGCCTGGTAATGCCAACCAAGTCCAACCCCTGATCTGGTCTTGACTTAGCTAACCCCAGATTTGATCCTGATCCTGGCCCTGACCATGACCCTGAGCCTGACCTCTGACTCTACCTGGGTCTGACCCCAGCTATGACTCATTAAACTCATCTTGACTCCAGCTCAGAATTGCCCCCAACCCCCTGCTCCCCTCCTCCCCACCCTTTCCTTTCCTCATCTCTGCTTGGTCAGATCTTGGGGCAAAGGTGCTGGAACGGGCACCAGGCTCTGAATGGGGGCCACCCAAAATCTGAGCTGATCCTCACCACCTCCCCGCTCCTCCCCAGGAGCTTCTTCGGGATAGGCATGCCTCATTCTTCAGCCTCTACCTCCTGGTAAGTGACCAGCCTGGATCTCTGTGACCTGCAAGTCCTACCCCACTTTGGGCTTCGATGTTCCCATCTGGTCAGGGGGGCTGCCTGGTTTTGTCTCTCAGAGTTCAAGTCTTTCCCAGAAGATCCATGGAAGCCCCAGGTTGGTCCCAGGTCGGTCCCCTTCCTTGTTGCTTGTTGCTCCCCTCCCCCAGGAATACAAGGAGCTCAAGGGCGATGGGCCTTTCACAATCTTCGTGCCGCACGCAGATCTGATGACCAACCTGTCGCAGGTACTCAAGAGCCCCCAGAGTGAGGCTGGGCGGGGATAGACATTACGATGGTGGGTCCTGCGCGGGCAGAGATGGCAATCAGAGGTCCCCCCCCACCCTCGCGACTCTACTCCAGGATGAGCTAGCCCGAATTCGTGCACATCGCCAACTGACGTTTCGCTATCACGTGGTCGGCTGCCGGCGGCTGGGGAGTCAGGAGCTGCTGGATCAGGGTTATGCCACCACGCTATCCGGGCACCCGCTGCGCTTCAGCGAGAGAGAGGTGAGCCCGGGCCCGCCCCCAGCTCGCCTCGCCTTCGGCTCGCCCCGCCCAGATCACGCCCATAACATGAGCCCCGCCCACTACCATGGGCATGCCCCTCCCGCACCTTTGCGTGCTTTTCTGAGAGGACGTGAGACTCCGCCCCAGTCCCCGCCCACGTTCTGCTCAGGTCCTAACCCAGGCCTGTCGTTCCCCAAGACTCGCCCAACCCCGCTCCACACCCACGCCAGGTCCCCCAACAGCGCTCGAACACCCTATCAATCAGTTTCACTTAGCCCCGCCCCCACGTACCATTGCCCCGCCCCCAGGGCAGCATATACATCAATGACTTCGCTCGCGTTGTGAGCAGCGACCACGAGGCGGTGAACGGAGTTCTGCACTTCATCGACCGAGTCCTGCTGCCGCCCGATGTTCTACACTGGGAGCCTGACGCTGCCCCTATCCCGAGGGTATGACCTGGGCACGGCCTGGGAGCTGGAAGGCCAGCGGCTGGGGACCTGGGATCCTTCCTGCGTGACCTCTCTCTTCATGATCTTCTTTCCCCAGAGAAACGTCACCGCTGCCGCCCAGAGCTTCGGTTTCAAGATCTTCAGTGGCCTCCTGACGGTACTGCTCCCGTGTGTGGGACTGTCAGTGTGTGCATATAGGCATGTATAAGTGTGTATGCTTACCTTACCTTACCTGTGTGCAAATCTGTCTCTTGTGTGAGTGAGCACGTCTGTGAACTCACGTGTGCACAGGCCACATCTGTGTGCATGAGTCTCCCAGGGTGACCACATGGGTGTGCATATGTGTGCCGGTATACCTGACAACGGTCAAATGTGTGCAGATGTATCCCTGCAGGTGTGCTCATGTATGTCTGCTTGGAGGCCACAGATGAGTGTGACAATGGGAATGTGGTTGGGTCTCTAGAGCCCCTTCTTGGTCTCTGTGGCCCAGCCCCCTGCCTCTGCCCACTAGTGTCTGACTGGGCTGTGACTGCCAGACCTTTGCTCCACCTCACCAGGTGGCCGGCCTCCTGCCCCTGCTTCGAGATGCATCCCATAGGCCCTTTACAATGCTGTGGCCCACAGACTCCGCCCTGCAAGCCCTGCCTCCTGATCGCCAGGCCTGGCTGTACCACGAGGACCACCGAGACAAGCTGGCAGCCATTCTGCGGGGCCACATGATCCGCAATGTTGAGGTGGGTATACCCAAGACCTTGTGCTTCACTGTCTGCAGCTCAGCCTGCCTTTCCAGCTCCAATCATGGCTCCATCTGCTCAGGCCTTGGCATCTGACCTGCCCAACCTGGGCCCACTCCGGACCATGCATGGGACTCCCATCTCCTTCTCCTGCAGCCGTACCCGGCCCGTGAGTCTGGGAATGGGCTTCAATGAGGGAAGTAGAAGGCAGGGGTCCTGGCAGTGGGGGGCTGCAGTGCTCCTGCGACCCCCACGCACCCACATCCTTCCCCTGCAGGGTGAGCTCATGGTGGGTGAGGATGAGGCCCACATTGTGCAGCGGCACTTGCTCTTTGAGGGTGGCCTGGCCTATGGCATCGACCAGCTACTGGAGCCACCTGGTCTTGGTGCTCGCTGTGACCACTTTGAGACCCAGGCACTGCGACTGGTGAGAAAGGCCAGAGGCCAGAGGCGGATGAGCAGGAGCCCAAGTCCACCTGTCATGTCCATCCACCTGACTTTGCTGTGTTGGCCTCCATCCCTTCCAGAAGACCTGCAGCATCTGTGGTCTGGAGCCACCCTGTCCTGAGGGCTCCCAGGAGCAGGTAGGGACTGGGGGCTGAGTGGGGGGTTGGGCAGGGTCCAAGGAGCACCAGGCTCAGCTGTCTGTGGTCTGACTCTTCTTTGTCCAGGGCAGCCCTGAGGTCTGCTGGCGCTACTACTCAAAGTACTGGGCATCCTCTTTACGGCGCTCTTTTAAACTATACAACGCCTGGGCCCGGCCCAGCCTTTGGGGTCAGCCGCAAGGCCTGGGCAGGGGCTGCCACCGCAACTGTGTCACCACCACCTGGAAGCCAAGCTGCTGCCCTGGTCACTATGGCAGTGAGTGCCAAGGTAAGTGTCCTAAGGTGGCAGACACTGGTGACTGGCTCCTCGAGCACCCAAGAGAGCCAAGGCATGGCTCTGGCCACTGTCCCTGAGAAAGAGTGTTGGGGAGCTCCAGGGCTGGGGAGGACTAGGTGGTGAGTAGGTTTCACTAGAGGAAATGCTGGAAGACGTAGGTGGGTGCAAAACCAGGAAGTGGGAGCTGGGGTTTCTGTTGTTCTCCAGGACACAAAGGCCTGAAGGGCTCTTAGCATTGTGGAAACATGGGTAGGGCCAGATGGCAGGGCTAGGCTGGGGGTGCATGTGTGGGGGTCCTGGTGAGAGCCCCTTGCTCCACCTCACTTCTCTTACCTCCTTCCCTAGCTTGCCCTGGCGGCCCCAGCAGCCCCTGCAGTGACCATGGAGTGTGCCTGGATGGCATGAGTGGCAATGGGCAGTGTAGGTGCCGCTCTGGTTTTGCCGGGACAGCCTGTGAACTCTGTGCTCCGGGTGCCTTTGGACCCCATTGTCAAGGTGGGTCGCCCCTGCCCCCACATTCCCCAATTCCCTTGGGCCCTGTTTGCCAATCTTTATCTTTTTGCTGGTCCTTCTCCCCAGCCTGCCGCTGCACCTTGCATGGCCACTGTGATGAAGGTCTTGGGGGCTCTGGCTCCTGCTTTTGCGATGAAGGCTGGACCGGCCCACACTGTGAGGTGCAACTGGGTGAGTAGTCCTTGTGCTTGTGCCCACCCTGCATACTTGGGTACCCTTGCACCAACTGCGCACACAAGTGAAGGCACTGCGGTTGGGTGGGACAGGTAGAGGCCAGGAGGGCCACAACTTACCTGGCTCTGTGGGGATGGGCCTTGGGGGACAGAGCTGCGGCCTGTGTGTGCCCCACCCTGTGCGCCCCAGGCCGTGTGCCGTGCAGGCAACAGCTGTGAGTGCAGCCTGGGCTATGAAGGGGACGGCCGTGTGTGCACAGGTAGGCAGGTGGGTGGGGATGCGACTGTGGGAGGTCCCCAGTCCCCTGGACACCAGGTCCAACCACTCCCTTCCTGCCCTCAGTGGCAGACCTGTGCCAGGATGGGCATGGTGGCTGCAGCGAGCATGCCAACTGCAGCCAGGTAGGCACAGTGATCACCTGTGCCTGCCTGCCTGACTACGAGGGTGATGGCTGGAGCTGCCGGGCCCGCAACCCTTGTGCGGATGGCCATCGCGGTGGCTGCAGTGAGCATGCCGATTGTCTGAGCACTGGCCCGGTGAGCAATTGGAGCCCAGCAGTCAGGGTGGGATGGCCAGCAGACCAGCTCTCCATGTCTGAAGGGTACCCACTGCTCTCACCACCCCCAGAACACACGGCGCTGTGAGTGCCATGCAGGTTACGTAGGTGATGGACAGCAGTGTCTGGAGGAGCTAGAGCCGCCCGTGGATCGCTGCCTGGGCCAGCCACCACCTTGCCACTCGGATGCCACGTGCACTGACCTGCACTTCCAAGGTGTGTCCCCCAGCCCGCTCCCTGTGCCCCTGCTTTATCCCTTGGGGCAGTCAGCTAACCACATACCCCTCCCTTTGCAGAGAAACGGGCTGGTGTCTTTCATCTCCAGGCCACCAGTGGCCCTTATGGCCTGAACTTCTCAGAGGCCGAGGCAGCATGTGGCGCCCAGGGAGCTGTCCTTGCTTCCCTCCCTCAGCTCTCTGCTGCCCAGCAGGTGTGTGGGGACCGGGAGTTGGAGCTGACCTCAGGAGGCCCTCAAGTTGGGCTTTGGGTCTCAGCATCCCCTCCTGCCCCTACAGCTGGGCTTCCACCTGTGCCTCATGGGCTGGCTGGCCAACGGTTCTGCTGCCCACCCCGTCGTTTTCCCTGCAGCAGACTGTGGTGATGGTCGGGTGGGGATAGTCAGCCTCGGTGCCCGCCAGAACCTCTCAGAGCGTTGGGACGCCTACTGCTTCCGTGAACAAGGTGAGCCCGCCCCACCTAGCCCCATTCCCTGACTCTGCCCTTCCCACCAATCAACTGAGCTGCTGACCTGTCTTACAGATGTGGCCTGCCGGTGCCGAGATGGCTTTGTGGGTGACGGGATCAGCATGTGCAACGGGAAGTTGCTTGATGTACTGGCTGCCACTGCTAACTTCTCCACCTTCTATGGGGTATGCAGGGGCCCAGCCCTCAGGGAGTGGAGATCTTGAGGAAGAAGCGAGCCTGCTCACAGTCCTGTCTCCCCACACTCCCAGATGCTACTGGACTATGCCAATACCACCCAGCGGGGTCTCAACTTCCTGGACTTCCTGGATGATGAACTCACCTACAAAACCCTCTTTGTCCCTGTCAATGAAGCCTTTGTGGACAACATGGTAACTGACAGGGACACGGGCAGGGCAAAGCCCAAGTCTGCTCTCTCTGGCTGGCCCAGGCCAAAAAGCCTTGCTCTGCCCACAGACGCTGAGTGGTCCAGACCTGGAGCTGCATGCCTCCAACGCCACCCTCCTAAGCGCCAACGCCAGCCAGGGAAAGTTGCTCCCTGCCCACTCAGGCCTCAGCCTCATCATCAGTGATGTGGGCCCTGACAACAGTTCTTGGGCCCCCATGGTGAGTGTGGCCATTGATCCTACCTTGCTGGCTCTTGCCGTCACTGCAAGACCTGACTCTGGTGTCTCCGCAGGCCCCAGGGGCAGTTGTGGTTAGCCGTGTCATCGTGTGGGACATCATGGCCTTCAATGGCATCATCCACGCCCTGGCCAGCCCCCTCCTGGCACCCCCACAGCCTGTGAGTCAGGGGAAGAGGGAGGCAGAGCCCCTCCTGTCACCCCTGCAGCCCATGGGTTCGTGGGAACGGGGAGGCAGGGCTCCTCCTGGCACCACCACAGCCCATGAGTCAGGGGAATGGGAAGAGCACAGCTCTGGCAAGATCCTTGACATTCTCCTTTTGCAGCAAGTGGTGCTGGCACCTGAGGCCCCACCTGTGGCAGCAGGCGTGGGGGCTGTGGTAGCTGCTGGAGCGCTGCTTGGCCTGGTGGCTGGAGCTTTTTACCTCCGTGCCCGAGGCAAGCCCTCGGGCTTTGGTTTCTCTGCCTTCCAGGTAGGGTTGGACTGAGGGTTGCCACCAGTGGGTGCTTCTGTCTTGCTTGAGGCCCCTCACCACTTACCTCTCTGCTCCCAGGCAGAAGATGATGCTGGCGATGACTTCTCCCCATGGCAAGAAGGGACCAGTCCAACCCTCATCTCTGTCCCCAACCCTGTCTTTGGCAGCCACGATGCCTTTTCTGAGCCTTTTGATGTGAGTGTTGGGGCCCTGGGCAATGAGAGATGGGCCCAGGCCCTGGGTACGCCCACCACAAATGGCCCTCCTCTCCTAGGACTCGCTCCTGGAGGAGGACTTCCCGGACACCCAGAGGATCCTTACGGTCAAGTGACAAGACCGGGCTGCAGGCGAGGCACGCGCAGGAAGGAGACCACTTTTATTGCTTGTCTGGACGGATACCCAGAGTGGATGGGGCAGGAGGGGCTGGGGCCTGTCCGGAACAATAAAGGTGCCCTCAGCGGATGTGGGCCATGTCGCCGAGGAAGGGTGTCTTCATGCAGCCAGTGCAGAGCTGGTCCATCCAGAGGGGCGCCTCGTGCTGCAGGGGTGTGCGACGTGGGTAGAAGGTGAAGTCCACGCGGTAGTTGAGCAGGCAGCTGAGGGAGGCCATGTAGAGGTCGGAGAAGCGCACGAGGCGCCTTGAGAAGTAGGTGGGGTTGTGGAAGGTGCGGAAGATGCTCCCAAACTGTGCGTTGAACAGGGCCTTGGTGATGCACCTGGGGAACAAGACACAGGCCGCTCCGTGGTGGGCCAGGAGGGGCTTGGGCTGGGACTCTCACTCTGCGCTCACCCTGCTCACCTCAGCTCCTGCCGCTCCTTCATCCAGGTAGCTAGCACCTGCCTTGACTCTGCATCCTGATAGGTCTGGGGGACACACGGGTGTACACGGTGTGTGCTGAGCATGCGCACTCAGGAGGCTATAGCCCCAGCCCTCCCCATGAATGCCTCTGGCCACCCTGCCCCATCCTGCCCGCACCTGCATGCGCTCAAGCAGCCCTGTGAGCGCTTGCTGCCATGTCAGCGAGTGCATGTACTGCTCTGTGTTGATGATGCGGATCTCGCGCTCCAGCTCAGGGATGATGGCGCCTGTGCGCCAGCCGTGCCGCAGCATGAGATCCTGGTGGGTGGGCCAGTGGGACTGGGCTCAGTGCCGTCTGGGAAGGCTCCCTGCCCACTGTCCTGCAGTCCACCCTGTCCCTCTTACCGCCAGGTCACTGTAGAGGTGGTCTCCGAAGTAGAGCACGCGGGGCCCACGCCATTCTGTCAAGCGCAGGAAGTCAAACAGGTTCCCCTGGGGAGAGGAGGGGTGACCCTGCTGAGCCAAGTGTGCCTTGTCCTCCACTGGTCCTCCCTCTCAAATCCCCAGAGGCAGTCCAAATCCAGCCGGATGCCGGATGCCCTTTCCCGTGGCCTTGCTGTCTCCTCCCTGGGCTCTGGCCCTTACTTTCCCTTCCCGCTTGGGAAAGGGGTTCTGCTTACTGCAGGACGGTTGCCTGTAGGCCTGGCATGGTGCCTGTGGCTCAAGGACCTCCGCTCCCTGTGGCCTCACACCCACCCCAGGCTAGGGAGTCAGTCCCTGTTTGTGACAAAGAAACCGCAGAGAAGGCCCCTTGGCCCTGGAGCAAAGAGGCCCTGAAATCCTTGCTGGCCTCCCTAGCCTCAGCCCAGAGGGATTCAGCAGACCAATGGCTCTGCTTCTTCTGTTCCAAAGCTGGAAAAAATGGAGACAGCCATGCCCGCATAGCCCAGGGAGCAGAAATGGGCCCCGAGCAGCAGTGCAACAGCCACCAGCCGCAAAAGCCCACACCCCAGAAGTGAAGGACTTTATACCCAGCAGAGCGCATTTAATAGAGCAGTCCGTGCATCCAAGAACCTCAGAGATAGAGACCGTGGGGAGATAGATGGTGTAGAACAACTGAATTGTTGACATAAGCTTGAGTGGCAAGATAGAAGAGCAGGTAGGCCCACAGAGGATGAGACCCCTGTACCAAGAGAAAAAATCCTGATGGGCAGGAGACTGAGAGGGCAGAGAAAGACGGATCTCAGAGTGAGAGGCTACCGAGAACCAGGCAGGATCCAATGCACACGGGGTACACGGAAGCTTCAGAACATCAGGTGTAAAGAACAGCCTGAGAGCTGCCAGGGAGAAAAAGTCACATGTTTCCCCCACAAAGGTGCATGACTCTCTTTAGCCAAGGCCAGATGCCAAGGCAAGAGCGAGTGTAGACCTCAGAGCTGAGGGGACACACCTGCGCCCAAAGAGCCATGGAGGATTTGGATGCAGCAGGGCGGGAGGCTGAGCAGTGGGCAGGGGTAAGAGGGTGGGAGCATGGCCACTCCCATGCTGTTCCCCCAGTCAACTTCTGGCCTCCCCCACCCCCAGCCCCAAGGCCTCAGAACTCCCACCTCTAAGAAGCCCAGCTCAGCTAGGATTTCCGCATTCCAGTCAGGGCTCAACCTTAATCACCTCCTGCTTAAAGCCACCCAATCTCCCAGCCCAGCACCAGATTCCCTCTTGTCTTCCTAAACAGATGAGAAGGGGGGTCTCCAAGAGCACCCAATGAGCTGACAACCAAGAAGAGCTGCTCAGCCCCAACAAATAAGTGCCATCCATCATGCATTTAGCAATCGCTGGCCGTTCCAAGGGCAAGTAGGGAGTATTAATTAAATTATATCTCTTGTACAGACAAGGAAAGCAAGGCACAGAGAGGACAGGTGACTAGGCCAGGCCCCCTCTGCTGAGTGGCAGAGTTGGAATTCAAACCCAGGCAGCTTGACCTCTGGCCAAGCTCTCGACATCACCCAGACCTGCTCCCTGACGACCATTCCCTGGTGGCCCCTGGCTCTAGCCCCACTGTGTGAGGCTGGTCAGGGCCAAGGAGCTTCCTCAGAGGCTTCCTCTGCACAGCCTGGGGCCTTGGTTGGCCCTGTGTCCCCCACCATGGGCTACTGCCCCCAGATGGCCCTCACCTGCCGATAGATCTTGCCCTTTTCCAGGCGGGTGATACGGTCCCACTGGAGCGAGCCCTTCTCATCGAGTTTTCTGAAAGGCCTGGGGTAGGGGTGGAGGACTTGATTTTCAGTCTGTGGCAGGGCCTCAGGCTGGGCACCGGCCCGCCTCAATCCATAAAGGCCCATCGATTCAAGTGGGCCACATGCCGGCAAGGGGGTATCCTAACCCTAAGCACACAGGCCAGGCTGGCCTCCTGCCACCATCCCCCCAACAGGGTGAGGTCTCCATTTCCCCTCCCTAGCTCTGCTGCCCCCCTGCCAGACCCATACTTGCGCCGGTCAGTGAAAAAACTGGGCTTGTCTGCCTGGACGATGACCACATCGAAGAGCTGGCGCCAGTCGGGGCCCACCATGTGCCGCATCCCCTTGTCCCTGTGCAGAGAGGGCATAGGCAGCAGGTAGTCTGAGGGTGGCTCTGTGCCAGCCTATCCCACCTGGGGCCTTGGCCCTGCCCTGCCCCTCCTTCCACAGTGGGGCAGGACTCACACGAAGCTGAAAGGACTGTTGGTGATGAGGAACAGCTGCTTCCCATGGGCCACCAGGCGGCTCAGGACCGCAAACGTCTCGTCCCCTCTCAGGATGTACTTCTCTAATGGAGGGACATGGGTCTGTGAGGGACGGCCCTACTCAGGTGGGCCACAGTAGGGCTACCATCCACCCTTACCCATGTCTTGCTCTATCCACTGGTACATGAGGCCCTTCACGTGCACATCTCGAATGGCGTCCTGGGGATAGTGGGGAACAGTGAGGGTTCAGTGGGGCCCAGGAGGGCCTCCCCTGTTGTGGCTGAACTTTACCATCCCTGTCATCTGAGGGGCAGGCCCAGCATCCTCACTGTCACATCTTTGTACAGGTGTGCTTGGTCGAACTCCAGGCCGTGGCCCAGGAAGTAGTCCACCACACAGGACAGCAGAGCCATCTCCGGCAGTGAGAAGATGTCCATGAACTGCTTGATGGAGGGACCCTAGGGAGGAGCCACCATGTCAGCCACCCCTCTGAGGGCTCCAGATCTGCCTTGGGAGCTGGTGGAGGGCACAACCTGGGGGTCGAGGCTGGCTTGTGGGGGAGGAGTACCTTGCCATAGAAGCCACTCATCTGATACAGTGGGATGTGTTGGGTGCCCCCATACAGGTCGATCACTTCCTCGTCTGGCACAGGCTGGAGGCCCCTGAGTGGGTACATTGACACCATCAGTTCAAAGAAGTTCTGAGCCTGGGCATCAGCATAGAGTGGGACTGGGGCAGGGTCACAGCAGAGCTAGCACTGACCTATAGGCTGTCCCCAGTTGCACATAGTGGAAGGCGTCAATCTTCATCAGAAGGCTCTGGGGGCACCAGGGTAGACAGTGAGGAGGTAGTCCTGCTGTAGGCCCCAAGCCAGTCTCTTCCATTCCATGCCAAAGCCCAGTGGATAGTACCAAGAGAATAATGTGTATACAAAGAGGAGCTACAGCTTTGAGGTCAAAGAATGCACAGGTGGGGAGCCCCTCCCTCTAGAGGAGACAAGAGTTAAGGAAGGATCCACTCACCTTCTGAATGTCATAGTGGAGGCCACGAATGGCAAAGCTGGGGTTGTAGTCATACTTCCGAATTCCCTCTGGGTACTGTTGGGGGAAAGAGGGTCAGAACTAAGCCAGTAGCACTGCCAGGCAGCTACCTCAGGGGGTTCTATCCAGCCACTTATTTGGGCCAGGGGGCCCGGGGAGCCCCACAACTCAGCCCTAGGCTTAGGACTGGCTAGCCTCACCTTGTAGTGCTCAATCAGGATGTCTTGGGCAGCACTGAAGATCTCAGGGTGCAGAGCATCTGCATACTGGGCCAGCGTGTAATCATAGTCGAAGCCATAGACCTCAACATCCCGCAGGCTGATCTCATTGTTGGCATAGATAGCTGCTGGGTTCAGGAGACTGCAGACTTCAGGGGGCAGGAGGTCTACAGGAAGGTGATGCAAGGAGGTGGTACAATGGGGGTGATGATCACTATACAGCTAATGGTTCCTAAGCACTTTGTGGATGCCCAGCTCTGTAAGCCTCATGAAACATGGTAATTCTTAGCCCAATGCTGCAGGTGGTCAAACTGAGGCCCTCAAAGTCACTTGCCCAGGGTCACAAGGTTAGGGTAAGGCAGAGGTGGTCCCGGGCTGAGTTCATGGCTGGAGTTCCTCCCACATGGTTACACTGTCACCTGCAGCCCAACAGGTACACTGAGACCAGCTTCCTCTAGGTTCTCATCACTAAGTTCCCTCAGACACACAACTGTGCTAGAACCCTGGCAGAACCCTCAGGCAGGCAGTCACTCAACGCCTCACTGAGTACCCCCAAGCAGCTGCTCTTAGAATGGTCCACAGCACAAATCCCTCCCTTGCTCAAAACCCACTCAGGAGCACCACTATTTGGCCCCTACAGGAAAAGAACTCCTCTGCCCCTCTCTCAACTGCCCTGCCCAGTCGCCTCACCTCCCAACCTTGAGG